TATATACACTTCCCCCTCTTGATTCAGTTCTGTAATTGAAATAATGCGTATAATTCGGGATTTGGAGTTCTAAAGCCTGATTTTCTATACTGATCCAAGTCTCAGTCAATAAAATTACGTGTATATTATCAGACATAGATCGTAAGATGCACTTCAGTTCATCGAATTTTCCTTTCTTTCGTATACTCCGGACATTAAGGTAGAGGTAAGGATTTTTTTTTTATCTGTTTCGGCTTTCACGTGGTTCTCGTCATACGGAATGGTAATATCGACTAAAAATATCCTTGACTGTGCCCTGTCCATCGGCACAATATCAGGCTTATTCGCAAGAATATTTCTGTCTGTGATGATGGCCCGGTCCCAGTACCGCCTGGCGCGGTCATTTTCGAGCACGGTATCCAGCAAGTACTTATAATAAGGCAGTTTCCGATCCACGAGACCGTATTTCAGAGCGAGCTCCTGGTATAGTATCCTACTAGATTGTGTCTGTGCAAATACTCAGAATTAGAAAGCGCCGAACAACCGGAGATGACATGCCTAAGTAACTCACCGGGATGGCGACAAGCTCGACAGATGTTGATTGCACCATCCTTTAGGATGTATCTCCGATAGTTGTTGGTCTTAATAACCTTATCCTGTATCGCACAGACAAAGCCCCTTGTTTCCCCAAAGAGGTCACCGAAACGTAGCCAGTGGAGAGAGGCGACTGTGTCTACGAAAGGCTCAAAGATAATTATGGTCGGCTCGACAGGGTCGCTTTCACAGAATACCAGCGTAATATAGCAGCTTAATGCTGCTGTATTTCGTATTGTGGGTGTAGAGAACCGGAGACCCTTTTTACTGGAAACGAGGCATTCCAGCTCAGTACTCTACAGTGATAACGCATCATCATTTTATTTCTCAATTGAGGATAAATGTAAATGTTTATGGGCCACAGCATCCACTCATTGTCAGTTGACTGTTCTCGTTTGTTACCCTTTTTCTATAAAAAAAAAACCCTACCCGTTAATCTTTTAATAAGACTGTCTTTAGTTTTCCCCTTAGTATTTGTTTACTTTTGTTGTATTTATCTTTCCTTGCTGTACAATAAAGAGTATGGTGTTATAATGTCCTAATTCATATCTCGCTTTTTCGCTCGTTATGCCTGTATTTTTTCGCACATACCCTCTGTAGTTTATTGAACTCCCTTTGTTTTCCTCGTTCCTCGTCCTCGTCCCTATTCGAAAACTTAGTTTCATATGTACTACTATTGTTGCCTACGTATATATACAAACCGTATAATTATTTTGCCCAGCATCCCTGTCTTCATCGAGGAAGTAGTTACCTTTATCGAAGTTTTCCTCAAGTAATTCCGTATCCTCTCTTAACTGGCCAGTGATTTTTGAACACAGTAAAAGTGGTAGGTAAGTACACAGTGAATTTATCACTATATACTTACAACTTTTACTGCGTTTTGACTCCTAAAATTATTTTTATCGAGTTATACTCCACATCCCTTACATCGCTAACACTGCTGGCGGGCGACTGAAGACGGAACACAAATCATTTATGTGCATTTCCCTACATACGAATTTTTCTAAACGGTCCAAATACATATGAAATTTGTTAGGATCATTTCTAGTTCGAATATCGCAAAAAGAACTTTATCAACACATTAACAAAAGAAACAGAAATTATGATTAGCGCAAAAAAAATGCACATATGGTATTTGGCAGCCGCAGCGACGATATTTATTGACTCGGTATCACCTATCACTTCAATTGATATAAACTAAAATACGGTCAAGAAAATGGTTGAAACGTTGGATCCAACGAAATCCGCTGGTCCTGATAACCTTCCAGCTCATTTTCTTATTAACTGTACGCATACAATGTGTGTACCTCAAACTGTTTTGTTTAAAAAAAATCTCTTAGTACTCTTGTTCCTTCTGTCTGAAACATATCGACCGATATCCAAGATATGCATACTATCTTAGTGTTTGAACGAATTATATATATAATCAGTTACACGCAGCCCTAAAGCTTTCATTCAATTCCACGCAACTTGAGTTTTTAAGAGGACACCCTACTGTTTCGAATCTTGTGCTTTTTAATGCATTCTTGACTGAAGCAATGGACAATTACCACCAGGTAGATGTCGTTTATACCGATTATAGTAAAGCCTTTAGCAGAATACAACACAATTTGCTATTACTGAAACTGTCCAAGATCTGTATAAAAGAAGATCTGCTTAGGTGGTTCAAGTCTTATATAAATAATCGGTAAGAAGTTGTTATCGTCAGCAACTACAAATCGGGATTGGTAACTGTTTCAAGTGGGGTACCACAGGGCTCACTGCTGGGACCGTTATTATTTGATATTTTTATCAATGACATTATTAACTATTACTAAAGAAAACTCTCTTATTATGTTTTGCTGAAGATATGAAGCTATTTTCGAAAATAACATCTCTTGATGATGCTGAGGCTTTAAAAGAAGATCTGCCAAATCTAGAGCATTATTGCGACCTAAACTATTTACATTTGAAACCTTGTAAATGTAACTATATGTCCTTTAGTCGCGAATATAAACCGGTTGTCTGAAACTATAAACTAAAAGGTATAAATCTTAAAAGGGATGCTATTGTTAGAGATCTTGGTGTTCTTCATGATTCTAAGTTGATATTTGACGCTCACTTAGGAAGCATTATAGCCAAGTTTTTATTTCACTAAGCCTAAAACTCTTAAGATCCTATATGTTCTCTTCTAAGAAGTAATTTAGAGTACACATCACAAATCTGGAATGCCAGGTATGTAACATATATTAGCCGACTTGAAAATATTCAAAGAAAGTTTATACGTTACCTCTGTTATAGAACCAAAGACTATCGCTATATCTTTGCTAATTATATTAGTTATTGTAAAAAATATCACCTTCTTCCTCTTGCTAAGCGAAGTGAGATCCGCTCACTTTTCTAGCGACTTTAAAAAGGAGACGGTACTCAATTTAACTATATGCTTTTTTTTATGTATCATAACTTTTTACTGGGTGAACCGATTTCGATGATTCTTTTTTATTTGAAAGCTGGAGCTTCACATGTCATCCCAATTTGATCAAGGTTTGACCATTACTTTTTGAGTTATCCTTAATAATTTATATTGAAGTCGGTTGTACAAAATTTTAAATTTTTAATTATCTGTTAAAGATCGCTTGTAGTGCTATTGACTATCGTGAGCTTTTGTCTCAATTACATCTTAGCTGTACTGCCAAACCTCTTTGAGACAACACACTTTTAAGTCTCCCGTTTGCATGTACCAATTGTAGGCAAAATACATTTATTTGGCGAGCGAGCAATAATTTTAAAAAGCTAGCCAATAAGTTTAACTTCGATTTGTTTAAAACTAGCGCTGCGTCAACCAAGCGCATACTTAACAATGCATTTTTTGGTAGTTCTAAGTGAGATATTGATGCGCCTGTTACAAAACTAACGTTTCACTATTTTATATTTGTGTTATTATTTTTCTTTTATATGTATACTAGCTCGCCAGGCAGACGTTGTTCTGCCCTATCCGATGACCCTGTGTCCTATAAATTTTTTTAAATTCGCAATAAAAAATTTTCAGGGTCATTTATCATAGAAATCAGTTCAGTAGTTTAGGAGTCCATCGCGGACAAACAACGTGACACGTAATTTTTATATATAAACTTTACATGTTATATCAGTTAAAACCTCATTTGGCATAAGTATGTTAGTATTAGATACTCTAGACTCTAGAGTGTTGAATCGTGTTTATCACTGTTTTACACCTTTGTGTGTTTATTAGTGAAGACCTTTAATTGTCTTACTGTAGTCATTAGTATTATCTTTCCTAATTATGATAGCTGTAGGTTTTCCAAATAAAATAAAATAAAATAATAAGTAAATAACTTGTCCGTAGCATACATACACAAAAAAAGAACATACAGTATAATTCTAAATTAAATTGTAAAACATTTCATAAAAATAAAACAAGATTAACTTCATATTTTTATTATCGTTACATTTGTTTTTGACGGTTTACAAACATTCAACAAAATGGTGCGTTAATCGAAACATTTTCCCGCCACGTAAATCCGCTAATGAAACGTCGCGGTCACATTAACATCAAGTCAATCCCGCATGCAGCGTAAAACACAGATGATAAATGGCGATTTCCCGTCATTGCGTCATTTTGCCCTTGAATAAGCTAAACAGACTTTTTTTATTTTTCAATAATTATGTCTAAAGCACTGTTAAAGCAGAGATCATTGCAGGATCATTTTGATATTGTATCTAATGAGGTAATGAGGGCTTCCAAAAATTTCCTGCCAATTTGGCGTCGACACACTGGATCGAGGTAAAATATTTGTCAGATTTAATGGCATATTTCTGGCGAAATATTAGTTATATTCTGTATGAATTAGATGATCATTTACAAATTATGCATGAAGTCTCATTGGTACGAAATTTTAATTATTTACAGTTATAACTTAACGAATGAAATTATCATAAATTCCCCCGGTGTTGCAGTTGTTCATGGGCAGCGGTGGTCATTTACCATCAGGTGAGCCGCATGCTCGTTTGCCACCTCTCCTATAAAAAAAAAACAATTTTTACCACATGCTCTGCACTGAAGGAAAGCATTCTAAGAATTAAAAAAAATATTTCGAAAACGTGTAAAGTATTGTAAACATTGAGTCACCGCGATGGACATTTCCTTGTCCTAAAATCCTCTCAGAGAATCAATGAGAGGAGGCCTGTGCCCATTAGTGGGACGAAAAAAGGCTGTAACTTTACTTTTCTTTTGCTTTTTGTAGTAAGAAATTAAATTAATAATATAAAAAGGTTAGATAAATCATATAATAAAAAATTAAATGTTTTTATGGTAAATACCATATCACCGGAATTATGTTAAGGTAGAAAATTACAGAACTAGTTAAGTAGACAATTTTTCCAAAATTAAAAACGACATCATGTCATTCCGTTTTACAACACAAACGAATTTAAACATTATTTCCGGACGTATCGTAACCCCATTCCGCCATCTTGGAATCAATTAAGTTACGGAACATGGCGACGTTCACGTACACGGCGGGAACTCCTTTTTCGCCACACCCAATGCCCCATGCCACCAGTCCAGTCAGTTTGTACCTGTCGTCTCCAATAGGGCAAGCAAGTGGTGCTCCACCGTCACCCTGGATGAAAAAATAATAAATTACTACTTTTTATTAATGGGACAATGTAAGCTCGTTCTGTGTAGATCGGACCAAAAATTAATAATTAAAAGCTGAAGGTAGCCTAATTATGACGTTTATCGTTAATTCGTCTTAGTTATGGAAGTGACATAGAATACCTATAACATTTATCTATTTCACAAAAACTTTTTTGCACAGTTACGTTTTTTGTTGTTTTCACCAGAAACTAGAAAGTTTAAAAAAAATTAAAATTGTTAAATTAATAATATAAATCATTTAAGTAAGCCTTTCATCAAACCTACCTGACATGTATCCTTCCCCTCCTCCCCTCCAGCACAAACGAAGCTGTCGTGCAACCTAAAGTTATGACCCAGCCGTGTATTCTTGAGGATCTGGTTGCATTTGCCGTGCTCCACCATGTTCACTTCCACTCGTTTGAGAATAACAGCATAGCGGCCTTTGAGACCTGGAACGGTTGGAGATGTAGTTACTAGTTAGCAATGGGTGAATCCGAGATCGGTCTTTTTTTTTCTAAAAGTGTACGCTGTTGGCCCTGCGACCTTGACAGCTTCATCGAATTAAGCTCGTAAGCGAGGACCTACGAGCTATTGAGTGCAACGAAGTGTAGTGGTACACTTCACTGACTGCATTCCCGAGGTACCCCGACACCTGCTTTCGGAGTGAGGCTCCTTGAGCTAGGGGGAGGGGGGGCTCGATGCGATTCAAGGGCTCCTGAGAAGGTGTTACGAACCTCGGCTTGAATCACTATTGCAATTTTGTTTACCGGTCGCAAAAATTTAGAAACGCCCCGTATCACGGGTGTTGAACCTCGTGTACGGCGTGTATCTGTGACCTCGCGTTCGCCGGCGAACGCGGTGTGCCCTAGTGTTCTGTACTAGAGGAGTGTCTGAGTGAGTGTATGTGTATGTGTGTTAGTGTTAACTAAACGGGTTCCCTCTCCTGTGGAGGGGGGGAGGGATCGACCTATTCTTGGAAGTGATCTCGTCGTCGGGATCAAGAAGAACGTTCTTGGGACGTCTCCTGTGGGGGCCAGCATCCCTCACTGGGGAGTACGAGCCCTCCTTATTTGCCAACGGACTTTTGTGTTCTTTAATCTAATCGAAATATCTTAAGATACAAATGTATGGAGGGCATGTCGAGGTCGCGGTGGAGATCCGCGTTCCTCACATAGTATGGAGCTCCTGTGATTTGACACAGGAATTTATTTTGGACAACTTGAAGTTGTTGGAGACTCCTTTTGGAGACGTGGCCAAAGGACACACCCGCGTATGTCATAATAGGACGTACGCAGGTTTTGTAGAGATGCAGTTTGTCTCTCAGGGACAGCTTACTGCTTTTATTGCAGGCGAAAAGACGATAGACTACGAATTTTGTCATATTCCTAACTGTTTTAATGTGCTGAGAGAAGCTCATTGCACAATCTAAAGTTACCCCTAGGTATTTCACCTCTCGGGCCCACGGGATTGGGCTATCGTAGATGGAGATCGTAGCTTTTTTGTATTTTTTAATCTGTAGCATTAATTTGTTAGAAGCATGCCTTCTGTTGAAAAAGATGGCTTTACTCTTATCGGGGTTCAATTCGAGATTCTCCATTTTCTGCACCAATCGCCCAATGCGTTTGATGCAGCTTGGAGTCGACTGCAGATTCTAATAGGGTGGATATCAGAGGAATTGTATCACCTGCGTATAGTGCGAGATGAGTATCAGGTATCGAAGGGATATCACTTACGTAGAGTGAGTATAGGGTAGGTGAGAGCACAGAGCCCTGGGGAACTCCTGCTCTGATGGGTCTCAAAGAGGAGAAAGTACCCTCAACGCGAAAACGAAAGGATCTATTAGCAAGAAAATCTTGAACAATTTTGACAAGTCTTAAAAGCACACCTGTATGGATAAGTTTGAAGACTAGTCCATTGTGCCAGACTTTGTCGAAGGCCTTGGCCACATCGAAGAACAGTACTCCTGTATAAAAAGTGCGCTTGTTCGTCTTTGCGGTCTGATCTAAAATGTGCTCCGTGAGGCGGTGCACCTGCTGAACACTTGAGTGTTTGGCTCGAAAACCAAACTGCTCGTTTGGAATTAGATTTTTTCCTAGCACTACATCCTTCAAACGGCTGAGGATGACGCGCTCATAGATTTTTTCCATAGCACTGAGGAGACTGATGGGTCTATAACTAGATAACATATCTCTGGGTTTGTTCGGTTTAGGAATACCGATAACTTCTTATAACATTGGAGTTTTAAAGACCTTATTATTAATGCCGTCAGCGCCTAGCGCTTTTCGAGGCTTGAGTTTTTTGATAATGGCTTCCACCTCATCGAAAGTAAGTGGATCATCCGTTGGAGATGCAGCCTATAAAGTACTATGCACCCCCCCCCCCCATAGATTGCCTCATAGAGGGATTTTGCCATACTTGTAATGTTACTATTCATTTGAAAATTCTCACTCAGTGAGCTATGTGCTCCTGGTAGATTATCATCTATACATTCGTCCATTACCGCCTATAAAAGTCCACAGCTGAACCTAGGGCCTCCCCCATAATTGCCTCATAGGTATGGGGGGGAGGGGAGATTCTGAGACAACTGCACTTTTTAAATATTTTTTACAGCAGGCAGAAGTGAAAACTCAATAATATATGCGCATACAGGCCGCTATCCTACGCGTCACTAGAAGACTTGCATGTCATATAATACGAGCATGTCGAGGTCATCAGTGACGCGAACCTGTAAGTTTTTCTCCTACAAAAAAACGCTCAACGCAGCTAAAGAAGGTTTTTTACTTAAAAAAAAAAACCGGGTCGTGGCTGTTGTGGACCCGGCTGTGTGTTTTACGTAAACACGTATACGTAATGAAACGACCTCAAAATGGCGGCGCTCCCCCCCTCCGCTACAGTCACAGTCCTTACTTAACGTAACCAATACTTTCATCCTTTAGCTATCGAGTGGTGTAATTAAATTTTGGATAAAGATGATAGATATGCAGTTGCAACATCAAACTGTATCCTCCGATTTTGTTGTCATCAGTTTTCTTAATGAGTGCTAATAATTTTCTGCTCGCCAGATACCGCTAGTTGACAATGAGGTAAAGTTTTTTGATACGCAATGTAATTTAATTGAGAAATTAGTTTTAAATAAAGTTCTATCAGTTTCTAGATTATTATATGAATATACAAAACAATGCATCAGAGGTTTGCTCTTTAATTTTTTGCACATTTTTACTTTTTTTTTAAATTTTCCATTTTTATGAATGTCTGTGGTTTGGTTTATTTATTTTTAATCTCATTAAGCTATATATTTTCCGAACAAATTAACTTCCCCGCTATGAAATCTGCGTTATACCTCACTTTCTAGTGGCGCCGCCCTAGTGGCAGAAAAAGTCGTGGATGCCCTCATTGACTCACACTATGGAAGCAATTTTAAAGATGTATTCACGTCAAAACTTACCAAACACATCCTTGCCCCATCCATTGGCGACACAATCCTGGCTGGTTTCGAATTTCTCATCCTGATTCGGGAGACAGATCACGTTGATGTGGTCCGCTAGCTCCACCGGCTCTTTAAGACGGAGAAGCGCTATGTCGTTGCGTAGACTCTTAGCGTGGAACTCTGAAACGGAATTAGATTTTAAAAACATACACATACACATACATTTTATTATTAACGTCTAGTGAAATATATACAACATTAAAAAAACTATAATAAAAAACATGCGTGAGTGTCACGGAACACTCGGTTGGAATGAAATTACTTTCGTAGTATATTATTAGGTATTGATAAACGTATTATATTATTGATTAACAAATACGAGTACAAATAAATGAATTACTAGCGTCTATTAAAATGAAGCGTCATTTAAAATAAAATAATATTTATTTCATGGCAAGATAAGAAAAAGTGCGAGGGAGATGAATATTATTCCATCTCGCTTCCTTATAGCTGCCAAGGCCGTCTACACTACCTCAGAAGGAGTCGTGACGGAATAGTCTTATGGCGCCTGTACACGCTCGTCGAGACACCACGAGACAGACCGAGTACGAGTGTGTACACGGTGCCCTCGTCGAGTTGTAACTCGTATTACGTATATATTTATTTATTTAACAATATTGACCCTACAGTACATATGTACAGGCTCGCTCTCGTTTTCTTCACGAGACTCACGAGACCCTTGACGTTGTCTCGAACGCAAAATACCGACAAGCTACTAAGAGCAAACGAGGGCCGCGAGACGCGACGCGACGCAACGAGGGCACCATGTACACATTCGTACTCGGCCTGTCTCGTGCTGTCTTGACGAGCGTGTACAGCCGCCATTACATTTTTTGTCGCCTAGCCCCCATCCGCCAAATCCATACCGTCTGATAAAGAACTTCGTTCCGATAAAGAAAAAACTAAAATGAAAAACTTAAATTATCACACAGTCTCTGTTCTCCCCCGTGGTATCGTGCCAAGATACACTAATTTTCTTTGACATTTGTCTTTTTTATGACAATGCCACTAATATTATATTCATTTTATATGGTAACATTTTTCATGGTTAAGGACTACATTAATTAGCTCGCACCAGGAGACTAGCCTATTTATATCATCTTGAAATAAGTTTACATCATTAAAAAAATACACATAGTTCATCACTGTGAGGCAATTTATGGTGGAAGCCCATATTCTGTTGTGGAATTTTCATTTACAGCGTAAGAAATGAGTTAATGATTGAATGGATGATACCTGGATGTATGAAGATATCCTGGACGATCCTCTCCTGGGACTGCAGACGCTCTTTGTCCGTCTGGGTGTCCCATTCTCCGGCTCTGATCTTCAATGTGTTAGGTGCGTACCTGGAAAATCAATTCATTGTATTCCTGCATCACCTCATTCGTCCCGTGGGTGACGTCAAAGGTGAATAAGGAAAAATACTAAACGATCTCACGGTTAGCGACAAATGGAGGTATAAACATACAACATCAGGATCATTATTCAAAGCTATAGAAATAACTTTTTTTTAAAAAGTCGAACAATATTTTTTTTATTTTATTTAAAAAAAATAATTGTATGCAAATTATATGTGGTTTTATTACCTCTGCATTGTCTGGGGAGTACGAGGATTGTCAGAGACCCCGCTTTACTTAGCTTTAGCATCGGCTAGTGTCAGTAAGAGGTAATAAAACCACATAAAATAAAATATTTTTTTTAATAAAATTTAAAAAAAATATGGTCGAGTTTAAAAAAAAGTTATTTCTATAGGTTTGAATACTGGTCCTGATAACGTACTTAACGGGGACCACGGGGTTTTTGTTACATGTTGTATAAAGCGACTATTAGCCTCATAGTAGGCACCGGACCGCGATCTCAAGGTCGTGGGTTCGATTCCGCTATTCGACTACTGGCACGAATAATGAGTGGTTAAATGGAATATCTATCAAATAAATAAAATTGAAGTGTCTGTTTGTAATGTTATAATAAACCTAGCAAGCTAACAGCATAGCAAAGTGGCGAAGCAATCAGCTTTGTAGCGGTTTCTAACGATTGCCGTTGAGCAATCAGGTTCAAAATAGGAGGTTCAGATGCCTGGGTGATCAGTAATCGATTGCTGAAAACAGAATTTGAAAATTCGAAACCGTTATCGAGATAGTCGTGGAACAGACGGACAGACGGACATACATCGTGAAATCAATAAGTGACTTCGCAAGCTTCGCCACTTAATAATAACAGCTATGGTACCTACCTATGGTACTAATACCAAAAAACAATTTTTAAAATTTATGTCTGTCTGTCTGTCTGGTATATTGGTATAGTTGTAGCACGATTCGGTTACAACTATACCAATTCGGGTCCCATCCGCAGAGATCGTGATCCTTGGCGATTTCAACGCCCACCATGCTGAATGGCTCGGTTCACGTTTAACCGATCATGTGGGGAGATCTGTTTATGACTTTGCCTTGGCATATGGTCTGACACAACTGGTTACTTCGCCTACGCGGATTCCAGATGTTGAGGATCATACACCTTTCCTGTTGGACCTTCTGCTGACCTCTCATCCGGACGGTTATCAGGTTTCCGTCAATACCCCTCTTGGCTCTTCGAACCATTGTCTGATCCGGAATGTGGTGCCACACACGCTCCCCTCGCGGTTGCATTCTCAGTGTTTGACATTACAGGTCGGCGGATTGGGACGGAATGCGGTCTTTCTTTGCTTCCTACCCATGGGGGCGGGTTTGCTTCTCGCCGGATGATCCCAGCGCTGTTGCTGACTCTGTCACTGATGTGGTGCTACAGGGAATGGAACTATTTATTCCATCATCTGTGGTACCCATCGGAGGCAGATCTCAGCCTTGGTTTGGTCGCTCCTGTAAGACTGCATTACGCAGTAAGCAGGAGTGTTATCAAGCCTGGGCTGCGGCTTCGACGACTCGGGATGTAAACACCAGCATACTTAAAAATAAGTATAACTTTACCTCCAGGTTCTTCAAAAAATTTATTGCCAAGGCAAAGTCAGAGCACATAGGCTGAATTGGCGAGAAACTAGTTCGCCTTCCTTCGGGAACCCGCGCATTCTGGTCTCTCTCCAAGGCTGTCCAAGGGAATTTCTGTAAGCCATCACTACCATCTCTGCACAGGGAGGACGACTCACTGGCCCATAACGCAAAAGAGAAAGCCGACCTTTTAGGCTCCCTTTTTGCGTCCAACTCGACTGTTGATGACGGGGGGAACACACCGCCGACCATCCCGCGGTGTGAGTGCTCCATGCCGGATGTGCGGTTCTCACAGCGCTCGGTTCGCAGAGCACGCCTCTCCCTTGACATCCACAAGTCGAGTGGGCCTGACGAAATCCCCCCAATCGTGCTGAGGACGTGTGCTCCGAAGTTGGCACCGGTTCTAACGCGTCTTTTCCGGTACTCCTACTCCCTAGGCGTAGTCCCGAAATCATGGAAGACAGCTTTTGTCCACCCGATCCCTAAAAAAGGCGACCGCTCAGACCCGTCCAACTACAGACCTATCGCCATCACCCCCTTGTTCTCCAAAATAATGGAATCCGTTATAAACTGCCACCTCATCCGGTACCTTGAGGATCACCAGCTGATTAGTGACCGCCAGTACAGTTTTCGTCGGGGTCTATCAGCTGGTGATCTTCTGGTCTACTTAACTCATAGATGGGCGGAGGCAGTAGAGTCCAAAGGTGAGGCACTGGCCGTTAGTTTGGACAATGCGAAGGCCTTCGATCGGATTTGGCACAAAGCGCTTCTATCGAAGCTCCCTTCCTATGGGCTTTCCGAGAAATTATGCAATTGGATCACCAGCTTTCTTGCAGATCTGAGCATCAAGGTCATTGTAGACGGTGCATGCTCCAAATACAAGCCTATTAACGCTGGTGTTCCACAAGGCTGCGTGCTATCACTAACGCTGTTTCTTCTGTATATCAATGATATGTTGCAAGCTGGTAGCATTCATTGCTATGCTGATGATAGCACTGGTGATGCTCTACACAGGCCATGCCAATATTTCCCGGGAAAACGTCACCGAGTACCGGAACAAACTTGTGTCTGAAGTCGAGTCTTTGCTGGACAAAGTCTCGGATTGGGGACGACTAAATCTAGTCCAGTTTAATCCTCACAAGACACAAGTTCGCGCGTTTACCGCTAAAAAGAACCCCTTTGTCGTATCTCCTCAGTTTCAAGGTACTCCCCTTGTTGCTTCAGCCTGTATCGGAATCCTCGGCGTCGACATATCGAGTGACGTGCAGTTTCGTGGTCACTTGAAAGAGAAGTCCAAATCGGCCTCTAAAAAGCTTGGCGTGCTCAGTAGAGCGGGACAGTATTTCATGCCGCCTCGACGCCTGCAACTTTACAAGGTGCAGACCGGCCTCACATGGAATACTGTTCCCATCTCTGGGCTGGGGCTCCACAGTGCCAGCTCCTTCCACTTGATCGCATCCAGCGCAGAGCGGCTCGAATCGTCGACGACCAAGTCCTTTCCGATCGGCTCGACTCATTGGCGCTGCGAAGAGATGTTGCATCTCTTTGCATTTTCTTTCGCATTTACCACGGGGAGTGCTCTGAGGAATTGTTCGGATTAATCCCAGCCGCCAAATTTCACGAACGCACATCGAGGCAGAACTCCCGATACCATCCACACCATCTGGATGATTGGCGATCCACCACTGTGCGATTTAGAAGATGTTTCCTTCCTCGCACAACTTCCTTGTGGAATAGTTTACCACCAGCGATTTTTCCGGACCGATACGACTTAGGGACCTTCAAGAAAAGAGCCTACTCCTTTTTAAAAGGCCGGCAACGCATCTGCAATTCCCCTGGTGTTGCGGTTGTTCATGGGCGGCGGTAGTCACTTACCATCAGGGAGCCGCATGCTCGTTTGCCCCCCCCCCCCCCCTCCTATAAAAAAAACGAATGGGTCGGCTCGACCGGGGAAGGACCACGCTCTCACTAGAATACCAGCGTGAAATAGCAGCTTAACACTGCTGTGTTTCATATGGTGAGTGTAGAGAATCGGAGACCCTTTTTTACTGGAAACGAGGCATTCCATCATAGTCCCCACGGGTGACAACGCATCTGCATTTTGATTGGTAATCGAGGATAGATGTTGATGTCTATGGGCCACAGCAACCACTTACCATCAGGTGGACTGTGTGCTCGTTTGTCACTCTAATTCTATAAAAAAAAATTGTGAATACAGTGATTTAGGTGTTAGTAAAATTTACAGTAGGTATCGTGTATTCTACCACAATGTGGTGTACAAATATATTTGTTTAGGTTATATACCAGAAAAGCAAAATGGATTACATTTAAAATTGATTGCACATTATAAAAATACAATAAACATATGTGTAGGTGTTATTAAATATTCACAAAAATGCTAAATATTATAGGTGAAAAGCATCGTGCAATCATACCATGACAAATAACAGAACGTAATGGCGCCTTTACGTCTATATTGAGAGAAAAAAAATTAAGTAAATAAAAATTTAATCTTTTAAAATTATTATTACTACTAGCTGACGAGGCAGACGTTGATCTGCCCTTTCGATCAATCGTCCTAAAAAATCATTAAATTCACAAAAATTGAGGGTCACTTATCGGGATAAAAACTATCCTATCTCTCAAGTTGGACCAAACATCACACATTGTGAAACATTTCATTGAAATCAGTTCAGTAGTAGAGTTCATCGCGAACAAACAATGTGACACGTAATTTTTATATATAAGGACTATTAATTACACGAGACAACAATAAATAATATCTTAGCCTAATTTCACGTAACAAAATTTATATTAAAAAAAACAAATGTCGATGTCATCAATAATATTATGTCAAATGTATAATGTGGTATGTCAAATCAAATACAAATGTTATAATATTATGTATACAAAACAATTATTTAAGTACTATATCATTAAGATATGTTAGGGAGTATGTTAGGGCTGAATCTGAATGACAGTGAGAAAGTGTGCGATAAGAGAATAGTGTGGTTTGCAAGATGATGTTGTGACCAGGATTAAGAAAGAAATGCTTCGGTGGTTTGGTCATGTAGAAAGCATGAATGAGGAAAGAGTGACAAAGTAAATTTATGTTGCAAGCTTAAACGGCAGAGTCGGAAAGGGACGCCCTAAGCGAAAGTATATCGACCAAATAGGCGATATATTGAAAATGAGCCAGATTTAGAATAATCTTAACCGATGAGCGTGTATAAGTCCATAGTAGTTTCTGCCTACCCCTCTGGGTGACAGGCGTAAGACAGTTGTTGTTGTTGTTGTTGTTCTTGTTGCTGTTGAATTATAATGGAAAAACTTATATGTAATAAAAAGGTGCCTACTTGAAGGCGATGTGTGCACCGGTCAACACCACTTGTGGATGGAGAAGCACACCGACACCCGCGTAGCTGCCATTGTTCGCGTCCATGAGGGCGACCACCCACGGGAACTCACCGAATTGAGCCTCCGCGCCCTGCGAAGCATGGAGACGATGTTGTACACAAAATATCGGAAATAATTAAAACTATACAGGAGTTATTATAGTGCATGTGTACGTAGAAGCACAGTTCTACTGTCCGGAGACATTTAAGCAGAACATTTTCTGCCTGTGCGTCATATCAAAAGTATTGTCTTCTATGTAGATCCAGGGGTTATTTGCTGAAAATCTATGGCTGAATCAATTGTGAAGAAACTTCGCAAACAGTTAGAGAGGCTATATTTTATCCTAAAGGCATGCATATCTTTGTGAAATCGTTAAACAGCTAAAATAAAAAGAATTTTGATATTTATCTCATAAAATAAAATATATTTAAAGAAGTTTGAAATTAAACTTTTTGGTTTGCAATTTTCACGAAAAGGGCCTCATACATCACTTTTTAATCTTTACTATCGTCTTTCCCAAAGAGTAGATATATAGTCATTCACGTTATGGATTCAACTCGGCGTCGGCTTGGCAGCATTCGGGAGATTACGACACATCTTCTCGTCAAGTATACCTCAAAACTTGGAAACAAGTTTGTACAACCAGTGCGTGTTGCCAATGATGACTTATGGATCATCGACGACAGGATGTGGTCCTTCACTGCTGGCCGTATGAGGAAGCTCAAGGTCCCTCAGCGAGCTATGGAGAGGGCTATGCTCGGGGTTTCTCTGCGTGATAAACTTAGAAGTGAAGATATCCGCAGTAGAACCAGACTAACTGACATAGCCCAACGGATTAGAAAGCTGAAGTGGCAATAGGCCGGCCATATAGCTCGAAGAACCCACAACCGATGGGGGAAAAAGGCGAGGGGCAGCCTTGTACCGGTAGGCGAAGTATGGGGCGGCCACCCACTATGATATAATCATTACGTTTTAATAATTACTACTATAACAGTGTACAGTTTAACAGTAGTAGAGCCACGCGGCAGCTTTTGCTGTCGCACGGATGGGCCGGCTCGAACCGGGGTGGTACCACGACCTCACAGAAAACCAGCGTGAAGTAGAGGTTTACCTCTGCGTTTCCCTTGGTGAGTGCAAGTGGCCGAAGGCCCTTTTTACTGGAAATGAGGCATTCCATCTTAGTCCTCACGGGTGACAACGCATCTACATTTTGATTTATAATAGAGGATAGATCCAGATGTCTATGGACCGCAGCAACCACTTACCATCAGGTGGACTGTGTGCTCGTTTGTCACCATTATCCAATAAAAAAAAATACTATAGTTGTACTATTTCACGATGAAGTTTTGACTTTGGTTGTTGCTAGCCGTTCACATACACATTGTGTTAGTGTGCGTAGGCCTCGAGAGTGAAGTTTTGAGTTTAGTCGTTGTTAGCCGTGCACGTACACATTGTGTTAGTGTGTGTAGGCCTCGAGAGTGAAGTTTTGAGTTTAGTCGTTGTTAGCCGTGCACGTACACATTGTGTTAGTGTGTGTAGGCCTCGGGAGTGAAGTTTTGAGTTTAGTCGTTGTTAGCCGTGCACGTACACATTGTGTTAGTGTGTGTAGGCCTCGGGAGTGAAGTTTTGAGTTTAGTCGTTGTTAGCCGCGCACGTACACATTGTGTTAGTGTGTGTAGGCCCCGAGAGTGAAGTTTTGAGTTTAGTCGTTGTTAGCCGTGCACGAACACATTGTGTTAGTGTGCGTAGGCCTCGGGAGTGAAGGTTTGACGTTGGTTGTTGTTAGCCGTGCACGTACACATTGTGTAGATGTCTATAGGCTGCAGTAACCACTTACTTACAGGTGGTCTGTGTACTCGTTTGTCACCCTTATCCTTAAAAAAAAACATTCCGGCCACGTTCGGAATTCGAACCCTCGACCCGCAATGCAACACCGAAATGTAACTCACCGTCCCACCACATATAGTGAAGTCGATGCCTTTCCGATTCCTATACCCGCAGCCTTTAAGGTTCTTCGAGTCCGGCTTAGGCAAGGGCTCTGGAGCTTTGGGGTTCTTGCAGCATCTCTCCACGCTCTCCTGACACTCATCCTGCCCAAATCTGGAAGAATATTTTCAGGTGATTATTAGACACACTAGTATCACAGCCTAAGAACATACAGTCAGTCCTCGCGTTTGATGTTGTCAGAAAAGCCGACATAAACAATAAATTGCTAGGGTTGTCGCAACGGGAAGTAATAAAAAAATAAAAAACTGATTTTATTTTATTTCACATTTAAATTATTAATGTGTATGTGGAAACTGATGAAACTTAAATTAATTATTTTTAAATGAGGACGCAGAGTTTTTTACGGCACATATAGTGCGAAACATTTTAATTTGTGTGACCGGACAACCCTAGCGGACAGCTCCCGAGCGACTAAAAGCCGTTCGGGAGCGCTCAGCCTGCGCACTGCACGATTGCCCCGTCTAGACGCCTTTGATGACTGTTAGTTGTAGTTAGACTGTGGTAGTATAGCTACTATATGTAGCTTCTTTTCTGGCCAAGAGTTTGGTTAGGCCTGAAGAGTATAGCGAACCAGTAAAATTATAAGCTGTGAGGCATTCTATCCTTTTATTAACCGACTTCAAAAAGGAGGAGGTACTCAATTCGTTTGTATTTTTTTAATGTGTGTTACCTCATAACTTTTTTCTGGGTGAACAGATTTTGATGATTCTCATTTTATTTAAAAGTTGGTGCTTCTCATGTGATTCTATATAAATATGATCAAGATCCGATCAGTAGTTTTTGAGTTATCTTTAATAGTTTATATTGAAGTCAGTTGTACAAAAATTTTGATTAAAATTTGAAAACATGAGAACCACCAGCTTTCAAATAAAAAAAAGAATCATCGAAATCGGTTCACCCAGAAAAAAGTTATGAGGTAACACACATAAAAAAACAGTCGAAATGAGTACGTCCCCCTTTTTGAAGTCGGTAGAAAACTAAATCATTTTAGAAGTTTAACCTCCAAGTGATGATTGAAGACGTTCATAATAATTGACTCCATCATAAAGCTTTCCAATAAAAAAGAATCATCAAAATCGGTTCACCTAGAAACAAAATTCTGAGGCAACATAAAATAAAATTTCTTTCGTAAATTAGTTATTAGCAACCTAGTCAGCCAATCATTGTCAGTGTGATTTTTCTCATATTACCTAGTTATTACGTATATTTTATTTTACTTTCTTATAATATATATTTAGTTGGGTTAGATTATGATAATTGTTAAATTTAGATGTAATTTTAGTTGAAAAACTAATTACTAGTCTGATTGAATCTCTTTTCAAACTGTTTAAATTGATAAGGTTTTGCAGGCTTTTACCAAATTACCATTGTATTTTTTTTTTGTTTGTTTCTGCTTTTGGTTTGTTTCTGTTATTAATTCACTTTCAGATTTATACAGTGATACTAGCAAAAATAGCATGTGGTGTTTAACTACAAATGATTTTACATACCCTGTGCAAGAAATGTAAATACTTAAAGAAATGTATGTAACGTATGTAATGTAAAATCGCCAGTAGACCCAATAAATAAATAAATAAAATAATACAATCGAATTGAATACCTCCACCTTTTTTTAAGTACCTAGGTTAAATACAGAAAAATTACACTAAATCGGTATTTAAACATTACAGAGATTCCATAATTAAAACCTATAAAAGTTATATCAAATAAAAAGGCCTGCTTATTATTCTTAGATTAAGTGTTCTATTATTATCTTATACAACAAATCGAATACTTAGTTCAAATCACACACTGATCAGTGAGACATCTTCGAGGTTGTAGCATGCGTTGTGTTTTCTAAAACTAACAGTGGTAGAGCCACGCGGCAGCTTTTGCTGTCGCACGGATGGGCCGGCTCGAACCGGGGTAGTACCACGACCTCACAAAAAACCAGCGTGAAGTAGAGTACCTCTGCGTTTCGCTTGGTGAGTGCAGGTGGCCGGAGGCCCTTTTTACTGGAAATGAGGCATTCCATCTTAGTCCTCACGGGTGGCAACGCATCTACATTTTGATTTGTAACAGAGGATAGATGTGGACTGTGTGCTCGTTTGTCACCCTTATCCTATAAAAAAAAACTACCCATTTTACCTCCTGTTTAATAAAAATGTTCACCTTAGTCCCAAATAGCGTCACCTGGTAAGCGTAGAATTATAAGCTTTCGATATTAAGAAATCACACTGCAAAGTCAGAAAGTCGTGCGTTTGAATCCATCATATGACTTCATCAACCACTCCCTTCACAAGCATTTAAGCAAACTTGATTGATTAAATGCAGTAATAGCATTAGGTACTATATTCCTCTAAAAAACTATTATGACGTCATTTAGGCAATGACGTAATATTTATTATGACGTCAATCAAATTACCTGATATCCAATCTAAAAGCGCCGGTCACCGACTCGTTGTACGCATTCACCGCATTTAAGTCCGCATCGCACAGGTAATAAGGCACACATTTGCACGCGTCGCCGTTAGTGTCGACGAACGTCGACGTGCTGTCCGTCGGTCGCACAGTAATCTGGAAATTGATTTCTTAATAGCAGTCACCTGATGGTAAGAGGATGCTGTGGTCCATAGACATCTACATCTATCTCCGGTTCAATTCACTCACCATACGAAAGCATAAAGCTCCTATTTTACGCTGGTATTCTCAAAGAGTGTCTTTCCACGGTCTAGCCGAACCCTTCTTATAACAATGGAATGGACCCTCAACGTTCTTTCGTTAAACCATCAAGTACCTCCTCCTTTTTTTTGAAATCGGTTAAAATGGTAAGTAGGTAAATTATTCAGAACAAATATTTGTATGAGCTACAAATAATTTCTCTGGATCTGTTCTATGTATGTAAACTGTCCCTGCGATACAATGCGAGAAAATCCTAGTAAGGAGGTAACGTTTTTTTTAAAAAGAGACGAAGAGAGACAACTAATGAAATTAAAAATTTTGTACAACCGACTTCAATATTAATACGCATTATTAAGGATAACTCCAAAACTACTGGTGATTAGACGCAACAGCTTTCAAATAAAAAAAGAATCATCAAAATCGATTCACCTAGAAAAAAGTTCTGAGGTAAGACACATAATAAATTACAGTCGAATTGAGTCCTTTATTTGAAGTCGTTTAAAAATGGTAAGTACCTAGGTAAATTATCTGAGTTTCAAAGACGTTCACGTTGTTATAATCTTATTTTTCCTCGATGTTGCATATTAACCTTCCTCACATTGAACAATAATGTTTTTATTATCAGCTAATTGATGGCTCCATGGCGCAAAGGCTTAGCAATGAGTTGCAACGCTGAGGACGCGAGCTCGAATGGCGCACGGAACAAGTATTTGTATGGCCTACAAATAATTGTGCCGGGTCTAGATGTTTCTCCTTGTGCAATTTATGTTTGTTAACTGCCTCCACGATACAGGAGAAAATTCTAGTGTAGGGGTAACTTTTTTTTTAAATAAATGAAATACTAACACATTACATAACACCTCGGTGTAAATACCAACTAATATCAAAGGATCAAATTTATTTTCTCACAACACCTAACCCTACAGTAGAAGCGGTTTTAATAAAGGCGCCTAACAGGCTAAGTGATACAGACACTCACACGCGGGCGTAAGGTGCATTTTGATTTAATACGCGCGCCACATTTTTTCTTCGACGAAATAAACGGTAGGCTAATTTCACGAAGGTCACTTCCGAGGCGTGCAAAGTATTATGTACATTAGCGACCTTGTAACAAGTTTGCTATCAGAGTGACCCTTCTGTTCTTGTACTATTATTTATTATGTGCAATATTAGAATAGAAGAAGTTATAGTTTCTACTATAACTTCTTCTATTCTTTACTAAAACTTCTGTTATAGAAGTTATAGTAAAGAATAAAACGATTTAACAGCTTCTGAAATCGGGGTTATAATTCTTCGAAACACTACGTCCTAGCGCCGACTTCAGAACTTGTTAGGTAGAAATTATTTTATAATTTTTAGTGCTTTGAAGTCGGCATACATTTTTTTATTAAAAGTTTGATGATTTCTTATGTTTACGCGAACACTACACGTGGGTTGTTTTTTGATGATTAATGATTAATGAATGGTAAAACAAAAATGAAACTTTTAATTGAAATAAAACTAGTGTTTTCGGATTTTATCGGGTATATTAACTTATTTTATATTCCCGACGTTTCGAGCACTTTACAGCACCCACGGTCACGGGGGGGGGGGGGACCGAGGTGTTTGACGAACCGATGTCATAGTTAACCAAGGCTACTAGTGACACGCCATTAAATCCGTAAAAACTAGTTTTATTTCCATTAAAAATTAAATTTTTCTTTCATCATTCATTTATTACAACCAATCAAAAGTCCTGCTGAACAGAGGCCTCCCCCACAGATTGCCATATCAGCAAAGGGGGGATATTTTCCGAGAATGGGCAGCGTAAGAGAATGAGGGCTAATAATATTCCGCTCACCAAATGTCGCTAGTTGACACTGAGGTAAAGTTTTTGTTACACAATGTCACTTAATTGAGAAGTCAGTTTTTTAATAAAAGTGTATTGTAGTTTCTAGAGCATCGGTCAGCAACAGGCGGACCGCGGTCCGTTTGCGGACCGCGAAAGATCGAACCTTGCACCGCCAAATATTGTAATGTATTGCATACCAAGTATAAAAATAATACGTAGATAAGGTATTATACCTTTATTATTTGAAGTAATATTTTTAAGCCTCATAGAATTTAACTTAGTTACTGTTACTTTTAACTTTTAATTTACTATTTTAGTTACTTAGTAACCTGTTCTATTTTAAATTGCCTAGTTAACCTGTTTTACAAGTACCTACATCTGACATGGTTTGATTAGTTTCATGTGTTTCTGTGTTTGTGCGAATTAGTTATAACTGATGTGATTTAAATCTTGGTTACGCACACGAAACATCCACAGATTGAACTACGTACATTATTTAGACGTACGTTATTCAGAGTTCAGACAACTCTTGAATATAAAAGGTGAACTCTGAAGAAAACATTGCAGTATTTGTTAAATTTCTGGTCAATCTTAGGAACGAATTTGCTACAAGATTCTAAGACTTTGCAGAGGTGGGCAAGCTATCTCCGTTTCTTAAATCGCCATTTGAAGATAATGTAGTGACAGAATCGACGAATGTGGCTTCCAATTTGTTTAATCCGTCAAAGCCATCACTTAAAATGGAGGTAATTGATTTGAAAGAAGATGCGTCTTTGCAAATGTATAAAACGGTATCAACCGAACAATTTTGGGTCAAACATGTCCCAGAAAAATATGAAAATTGCAAGAAACTAGCTATAAAGTTGGCAACTATGTTTGGCTCGACATACGTATGTGAAAAATCTTTCTCAAAGATGAATCTTTTTAAATACAAATAACCTTTGAGATTAACAGACGCTTACCTAGAAGACACACTTTGAATTCTCTCGAGAACCAAAGTATAAAAAACTGGCTCAAGACCGTCGGTGTAGTTTCTCAGATTAATTTTAAGTCTTGTGTTTTATAATTCAGAATTTGATTTGAAACCAAAGTAATACATAGGTAGCACTTAATTGTTATCAATTGTTTTTTTTTTCTGGACCTCGTTAAAATTTTCCCACAGTATCCGGACCCCACCTAAAACTACTTGCCGACCTCTGTTCTAGAGTATCATATTAATCCACAAAACAATGCCACAGTGGTTTGCTCTTTAACTGTTTGCACCTTTTTAACTTTTTTTTTTCATTTTTTTACTTTTATGAATGTGTTGGTTTATTTATTTTTATTCTAATTATTATAATATATAACTAATAGTACCAAAAGAAATATTGACTTTGACATTATTCAAACAGATTAACTTCCCCGCTATGAAATCTGTCAAAAATTATACCTCACTTTTAAGTGGCGCCGCCCTGGTGGCAGAAAAAGTCGTGGATAATGAATGTGATATGAACGTGATGTCAACTCAAATATAACAAAAACTGCCACACATCACTCCCCTGGCGAGCGTGGCAACTATAGCCAAAAACTTGTATATGCCAGTCATTAAATTGTCTGTTACAGGGAACAGCCTCAAAGTTTAAACAAACGAAGATCCTGAATGAAATGAAGATATGGCTTAAAGGACAAGCATCCAAGCCAAAAATTTTAATTAAATAATCATAGGTTAAATCTTATTCAGTCATTCATCAGCACAACCCATCGAAGACCACTGTTCAACTAAGGCCTCCATCATAGACAGACTCAAAGACCCCTATGAGATTGTCTGTGGGTAATATTTGCTATGGTTACCACGCTTGGTAGGCAGATCGGCAACCAATTTTTTTTTATCATGGAGTTGAAATCAGAAAGAGGCTGATGCCTTCCTCCTGTTTTAGTTTCCCTCTGCCGTTTCTACCGTTACCGTATACACGAGCACACAGTCCACCTGATAAGCACACGTGGTAGAGCCATGCTGCAGCTATATTAGTGGTATAGTTGTAACACGAATGGGTCGCCTCGGCCGGGTCTCACAGAATACCAGCGTGAAATAGCAGCTTAACACTGCTGTGTTTCGTATGGTGAGTGTAGATTACCGGAGACCCTTTTTACTGGAAAAGAGGGATTCCATCTTAGTCCTCACGGGTGACAACGCAACTGCGTTTTGATTCTTTATAGTGGATAGATGTAGATATCTATGGGTCACAACAACCACTTACCATCAGGTGGACTGTGTGCTCGTTTGTCACCCTATCCAATAAAAATAGGTTCTGTGGTCCACAGACATGTACTAAATACTCAACTAAGAATCAAAATGCAGATGTGTTGTCAATTACACACACAACACATATGAGGTATTGGATTATTTTGCGGTGCCACTAAAGTCTGTTGGCTGAGAGTTGATAATTATTATGAAAACGTCCCGCAATAGTGACTGTCGCTTAAGTATCACAATCTGTGTGATGGGCGGCACTTATCCCAGCAAGCACACAATGTTGCCAAGTACGCAGCTGTTGACAGGCGCGGAGCCGAGCGGTGATCCAACGCGGCGACTTTTTTATCTATCACCAAAAATAATATGCGGGCCGCAATTTGTAATGTATGTAAATCAATTTAGTTTAGGAACCCTGCTTTTCTTTTTTTTTATAAACTCGCCAAAAATACCAATAATTAGCGGGCCGTAATTTGTAATTGGTTATTTTTTTTTATTATTTTTAAAACATTACCCCCACACTAGAATTTTCTCCTGTATCGTGGAGGCAACTTACACACATAAATTGCACGAGGGCAAAGATCCAGACCCAGAACAATTATTTGTAGGCCATACAAATACTTGTTCCGTACGGGATTCGAAGCCGCGGCACCCAGGGCGACAACTCATTGCTAAGCCACTGCGCCACGGAGCCGTCGAAATGAGTTTACGAACCTTGCTTTTCTTTTACTTATACGACTACACGAGCTGTATGGAAATTAACTTACATCCTCAAGCCCAGGAGTTTTAGAGGTCGCTGGAGTGCCGAAGATATCAGCTAAAACACTTGGATTGATTGTGGTGGTCTGCGGGTACGCCACAGCTGATGCCAGCGCCAGAAGTAACACAAACATCCTTTATCTGTAATGATAACGGAGTATAAAGACCTCAAAGGTGAAATAAAACGTAGATATGTGGATTCTCCTAGCTATAACAACAATACCCGTAGTTCTGTCCACCACAGGGGTAATACCTATAATTTAGTAGCTTAATAATGCTCTATCGAAATATGTACATTGGTTTAACGCCAACAATCTGCTTTTGAACGGAAATAAAACATTATATAATTTAAAATTAAAAAAATTGTGCAACCGACTTCAATATAAATTATAAAGAATAACTCAAAAACCTTTGATCAGACCTTGATCATCGAAATCGGTTCACCCAGTAAAGAGTTATGAGGTAACACACATAAAAAAACATACAGTCGAATTTAGTACCGTCTCCTTTTTGAAGTCGGTAGAAAATGTATTAAATTTAAAATACCTAATGTTAATCATTCAAATACCAATGTGCTCATAAATGGGGAGGAGTTGAGTCTTGTGGATACCACTGTTTTTCTCAGTATTACTATTGACGCGAAACTTCAATGGGGCCCCCATATATCTAAATTAACAAGCAGACTTAGTTCTGCAGCATATCGTGTAAGAAAGGTTAGAAGTCTCATCAATGTTGAGACAGCTAGATTAGTTTATTTTAGTGACTTTCATAGCGTGATGTCTTATGGAATTTTGCTATGGGGTAATGCAACTGACATCGAAGCTATATTTGTTTTGCAAAAGAGAGCCGTACAGGCGATTTATAACTTAAATTTTAAAGAGTCCCTTAGAGAAAAATTTAAAGAAATATACATATTAACTTTGGCATCGCATATGAAAATTTAATGTATGTTTTTTTTATAGGAGAGGGGACAATCGAGCATGCGGCTCACCTGATGGTAAGTGACTACCGCCGTCCATGAACAACTGCAACACCAGGGGAATCGCAGATGCGTTGCCGGGCTTTTAAAAAGGAGTAGGCTCTTTTCTTGAAGGTCCCTAAGTCGTATCGGTCCGGAAAAATCTGGTGGTAATCGATTCCACAAGGAAGTTGTGCGAGGAAGAAAACTTCTTCTTAATCAGTGTGGAGCGTCAACCATCCAGACGGTGCTAGTGGTATCGGGAGTTCTGCCGCGACGTGCGATGATAAAATTGAGCGGGTGGAATTAATCCGAACAATTCCTCAGAGCACTCGCCGTGATAGATGCGATAAAATACGCAAAGAGATGCAACATCTCTACGCAGTAGGTACCAGTGAGTCAAGCCGATCGGAAAGAACTCGGTCGATTCGAACCGCTCTGCGCTGGATACAGTCAAGTGGAAGGAGCTGGTACTGGGGAGCCCCTGCCCAGAGATGGGAACAGTATTACATGTGAGGCCGAACCTGCGCTTAAACTTATCTTGTGAGGAAATGATTCAAAACTTGTGTGCTAAACAAGGACTCAACTCGAGCGTCTACGGGTGCCTCCATAGGTCCCATAGCGGTAATGCCGACACAGACCGACTCATCGACCACGTCCAAATGGCTGCAGACTCCGTGCTACAACAGGTCCCATCCGCAGAGATCGTAATACTCGGTGATTTTAACGCCCACCACGCTGAATGGCTTCGGGCGATTTATAATCTAAATTGTAAAGAGTCCCTCAGAGAAAAATTTAAAGAAATAAACATATTAACTTTGGCATCGCAATATATTTATGAAAATGTAATGTATGTACATAAAAACATAAATAGCTTTAATAAGAATAAGGATGTTCATACCTTAAACACTAGGAACAAACATAAGCTTGTAATGAAAGTTACTAGACTCCACAGAATTAGTAATTCATTTATGTTATGGGGCAATGTTTACGCTTTTACAACAAAATCCCAGAACATGTTCAAAGTTTGTCAATAAACAAGTTTAAAAGTTTTATTAAAGAAAAACTGTACAAAAAGGGTTATTATAATATCAAGGAATACATGAATGAAAGTAACCCCTGGGAATAAGGTGATCGCCACCATGCTGGTTCTATGAAAATTCATTTAAAATTGTATAAACAAAATTATTGTTAAGTGAAATTATGTTTACAAAAAAAGTCCCGCTGGGTTTCTTGCTGGTTCTTCCCAGGACAGAGGTATTTTCCGAACCAGTGGTAAATAAAATAATGACTTTCAATAAGTATTATGTAATAATCCATATTGAATAAAAATCATTCTATTCTATTCTATTCTATTCTATTCTTCCCTGTTGGACCTTTTGCTGACCTCTCATCCGGACGGATATCAGGTCTCCGTCGATGCCCCTCTCGGCTCTTCGGACCATTGTCTGATCCGCAGTACGGTGCCACTCACACTCCAATCGCAGTTGCGATCTGCAGCATGCCGCCGTGTTTGGCACTATAGGTCAGGTGATTGGGACGGGATGCGGTCTTTTTTTGCATCCTACCCTTGGGGGAGGGTTTGCTTCTCGCCGGAAGATCCCAGCGTTGTTGCCGATTCTGTTGCTGATGTGGTACTTCAGGGTATGGAACTTTTTATTCCATCCTCTGTGGTGCCCATCGGAGGTCGCTCCTGTAAAATAGCATCACACTATAAGCAGGAGTGCTACGGGGCCTGGGACGACGCATCAACGTCTTGGGATGTAAATACCAGCACACTTAAAAAAAAGTATAGTTCCGCCTCCAGGTCCTTCAAAAGCGTCATTGCCAAGGCAAGGTCTGAGCACATCGGCAGAATTGGCGAGAAGCTAGTTCGCCTTCCTTTGGGAACCCGTGCATTCTGGTCTCTCGCCAAGGCTGTCAAAGGGAACTTCTGTCAGCCATCTCTTCCATCTCTGCACATAGAGGACGACTCACTGGCCCATGCCGCAAAGGAGAAAGCCGATCTGTTGAGCTCTCTCTTTGCGTCCAACTCGACTCTAGATGACGGAGGGAGGATGACACACCGCCGACCATCCCGCGATGTAAGTGCTCCATGCCGGATGTGCGGTTTACACAGCGCTCGGTTCGCAAAGCACTCTTCTCCCTAGACGTCCCATTGTGCTGAAGACGTGTGCTCCGGAGTTGCCACCAGTTTTAACGCATCTTTTCCAGTACTCCTACTCCCAAGGCGTAGTCCCGAATTCATGGAAGACAGCTTTGGTCCACCCGATCCTTAAAAAAGGCGACCGCTCAGACCCGTCCAACTACAGGCCTATCGCCATCACCTCCTTGTTTCCAAAATAATGGAATCCATTATAAACTGCCAGCTCATGAGGTACCTTGAGGATCACCAGCTGATTAGTGATTACGGTTTTCGTCGGGGTCGATCAGCTGGTGATCTTCTAGTCTATCTGACTCATAGATGGGCGGAGGCAGTAGAGTCCAAGGGGGAGGCATTGGCCGGTAGTTTGGGATGGCTTCCCAAGAAATTGTGCAAATGGATCACCAGTTTCCTTGCTGATCGGAGCACCAAGGTCGTAGTAGACGGTGCATGCTCTGATTTCAAGCCTATCAACGCTGGTGTTCCACAAGGCTGCGTGCTATCACCAACGCTGTTTCTCCTGCATATCAATGATATGTTGCAAACTGGTAGCATTCATTGCTATGCGGACGACAGCACTGGTGATGCCTTATATACCGGCCGTGCCAATATTTCTCGGGAAAACGTCGCCGAGTACCGGGACAAACTTGTGTCTGAAGTCGAGTCTTTGCTTAACAAAGTCTCGGATTGGGGCCGACTAAATCTAGTCCAGTTCAATCCCCAAAAGACACAAGTTTGCCCGATTACCGCTAAAAAGAACCCCTTTGTCGTATCTCCTCAGTTTCAAGGCACTCCCCTTACTGCCTCAGCTTGTATATATAGTAATCGGATTTTATCGCGTTTAATTATAATTAAGTTTTAATGCCGGACGCTTCTGCTTGAGATCCTGTAATTAATCTAATTAAAACTAAACCCAAGCATACACTGCAAGATTTCAAGACAGTAAGTTCATTCTGCGTAGATCGGACCAAAACTAATAATTAAAAAGCTGAAGGTACTCCGGGTTAACTCTGACATCGGGACGGCAATCACCTCGGTTCCCCGTGAGCCCGTGACCATGGGTGCTGTAAAGCACCTGAAACGTCAGGAATTAAAAATAAGTATAATTAAACGCGATAAAATCCGTAAAAGTAGTTTTATTCAATAAAAAGATTACATTCCGTTTCGTTGCAATAACACGAATTAAAAATCATATTTTATATCATCGATACCCTTGTAAACAGGAAAAACGGTTTAATAATGTAAAACTGGTATCGCGAAAACAGTAACCACAACGCATCTACCGATCAGATGATCAAAGTTGTCGTATATTGTGTTCATAAAATGGACGCAATAGAGGACTGGGTCAGATGTCTTTCACAACCCAATCAAGTACAATGAGGGAATTCACGACTTTTTCTGCCACCAGGGCGGCGCCACTTAAAAATGAGATGTAATATTTGACAGATTTCATAGCGGGGAAGTTAATTATTACGTAAAATGTACTGTTTTCGGTTATATTACATATATTTTATATTAATTAGATTAAAAATAAAAATAAATAATTCATAAAAGTGGAAAAATAAAATACGAGTTAAAAATATGCAAAAAAATTTAAGAGCAAACCACTGAGGCATTGTTTTGTAAATTAATATAATATACTCCAGAAACATAAATCACTATGAATTATATTAAATCCACCTTATCATTAATAATTATGTTTTGATTTATAATGTTGCATTTAATCAATTTACTTTGTGACATAGGTAGGTCACATCACTATAATTTGTATTAATGGTGATTGATGTAGCAAACATTGTTCGATGGATACAAAGACATTTAAGTAGTAGTATACCTATATATTTAAATCTCTTTGGGTGGCTATCACACACTCGGCGATCGACCTTTACCGGCCGGTAACCTCGATATTGTAATCGATAATTATTAAGGTTGTTGACTGAGGTGTTGCGCTTTTTTCCTTTACTGTTTCTGTTAAAATCTTGGCCACAAACTAGTGCCTTGGCTGAGTCAATGAGGGATTATGTTCATGCGCT